TAAAAGTTAGGTTAGATTTTAGGTAAATTTAATTTGTGTGAGGTGTCTTCTTAAAAGGCACCTTAACACTTGAAAACACAAATATAATTATAATAGGAGTTGTTTTCTCCACTGAAGATTGAGATTAGAATCTGCCCAATCTGGAATAAAATAAGGCTTTTTTTGCAGACATTCTGCAGCTAAACGAAAGAAAGAAATCTATTTAATGATATTTTTTACCAAATGGAGGTATTTTATATTTATTTCGCAGCATACATAAGGAAAAATATAGGCATTAAATTTCGTGATGTCATCATACTGCTAGAATTAATTTCAGGATTATGCCAGAGAAAATTTCCTGAAATTTGGAAATATTATTTACTAATGATACATAAATTTAGAAGGAAGAAGCAACATTAAATGATATGAATAACATAAAAATAAAGATAATTACTTAAAAATTTAATTAGAATAATCAATGATATTTTAGTGAATATCGTTATATCACATGGTTATCCTAGATGATTGATTACTATTTTTTTATTTTACTGCAAAATGACAAGGTATTTATTAAAAAGAAAAAAAAAATTGCAGTAAAATCCTAGTATACAATAAGGCCTTTGCATGATTTTGAAAATTGTCGCCAAGAACAAAATGACCCGTTTACTGCTCATCAACATGTTGCCAAATCCCGCTGTACCATACATGGAGATTATTCTGACCAAAGAACGTCTATGTAAAAAGTGGAGGGAAAATTTGCCAAGGGATTTGACGACAGAACGGTCAGAATTTCCTTCTCCGCGATGTGTACAGGAAATTGAGAAACACGTATTAAGAAGAAACGTTCTTTGACAAAAAAAGAAAACTACGAAAATCCGTTTTTAAATTATTGCGAAAAATCCAAGAAGAAACGTTTTATCAAAGAACGTTTTTTCTTGGATTTCTCGCAATAATTTTAAAAACGGATTTTCATAGATATATCCCCCCCCTTAAAATAAATAATCCATGAATTAATTTACTTGCGCCAAAAAATATTTTCTTTTCCTTTAGAGTTTAAAGACATTTTAAACGATATTCATTTTATGAACTCTTGATAACGTGACCTTCGAACTTCGACACCGGTTTCGAGCTTTGGCGACAGATATTTCGCGCATGCACAGCTGTTTCCCGCTATGATGGAACCGAGCCACGTCTGTTGCAGAGAGGTTTTCCTTCTTTACAACACATATTTTTTTAATTCTAACCTTCATGGTACTGTATACTAGGATTAAACCCATTTTGTTTTATACGAGAACAGGTACTTTCTTTAGTTCATGCACTGCACATGCGATTCTCGAGGTTACTGGAAACCAAAAGTTGCGGGAAACTTGCTTTGTCTTTCTAAAAAGACAATCAAATTGGAGCTGCGAAAATTGGCTCTATGCCAGCTGCCCGAATGAACACTCACGTGATACACAATTCGCCAAAAAAGTGATCTCTTCCGACGTCGGCGCAAAACTCGCCTTTTTTGGCGGGATCGTTGTATGAAATTCTCTGACTTTTCCAGATTTTGACTAAAACACTTAAATTCCCTGACTTTTCCCTGAATTTTTTGGTCAATTTCCAAATTCCCTGACTTTTTCCGGTTTTTCAGGTAGCGTGGCAACCTTGCAAATTTCACCTTTAGATAAGCCAGCCAGGAGTATTTTTCAAAAAGAAGTTTATCTTGAAAAACACAATAAAAACTTACTAAACCTGCTAATCTAGCAACATCAACCAATTAATTTGTTGGAAGCACATATTTGAAAGGTGTTATTTCACAAACAAATGGTAGAGACTAATTTATTAATTTGTGTGTCATGGACTTTATCTTATTACCAATGATTTAAATCCAGAAACAATATGTACCTTTTCGGTATTCTTTGGAATCTTCTTTCTAGGTAGAAGTAATGATTGACAACTTTTCTCTTTCAAGTTAATAACGTTGCTTATTTTGCACTTACAAACTTTTAATACCCTGCATCTCAACATTTTTTAATTATGGAATAGGGATATTACTCTTCTCAATGTGCAAAAATATATCATTCAATCCAGAGCTTGTTAACATGCGACATTATGAAAGAAGAATAAATTTAATAGTAGCATTAAATTAGTAGCAGATTATATTTCTCATTTCAAATAATAAGCTGCAGCCAGGAATTTTATTAAAAAAATATCCTTTTTTTAATAGTAAAAAATATGCTTTTTTTTAATAGTAATCAAGCTCTAAAAAATGTGTAAACACTCTCTGTATAAAATTTTCTTTAATTAACATGTTTTGGTTATGTTAAAATCTGTTTAATATTTCTCCTGTTTTGTTTGTTCCTCCATCAGAATATACAAACAGGAGTTCTAAATACCATTAAGAATTTATGTTTAAGAGATTGTGAACTGGTTTATGCCCAATTAGAGTTGATTTGTACCTATCTGCTCTTTGGTTTCCCCTTTACTTTCAATATTAAGTTACTGCTTCTAAAACTAACCTAGCCAGGTCCTGGGATATAACCTTGATGTGTGAAGTGTAAATAGCTGAATTTGATTTTGGCCGTTATTCCCACTACATAAAAATGTCAATTTGTAATCATTAGTTTAATTCTGCAATTCAGACTGAAAAAGTAATATATTTTTAGTTGATTTTCATCCCTGTTATATTCATAAGTGAATATAGCAGGGATGAATATGTTCTGATATTGTTAGCTAAACTTGGATGGCAGACAATAAAGTTAGAATATTATTTAGAATTAAGCTAAAGTTAGCTAAAACTTATATATGTACTAATTCTCCAAATAAACCTCAGAAAGTGGTCAAACGTATTTTCACAAAGTTATCAAACACACAGAAAATGTGGCAGAATTGCTAAGAAACCACAGTGTTATAAATGTGAAAATTCAATGCAAAGTAACTTAAACAGTCAGTCTATATTTATATGGGCTAAATTTTGAGAAGCTTTGAACAAGTTCCAAAAATTCTCAATGTATGGAGAATATGAAAGAGAATTCTTGAGTATGTAGTTCTAAGAAATCAGAAAATCAGTTACAGGAGAGGAGAGGCCATTACAAACATAGTGCACTGTGTTGGCATTTGCACAGACAGTGCTAAAGTGGTGGTTAGTGAAAAAATTGGATTTCTAGCCAAAGTTAAGGAAAATGACAACAAACATATAACATTAACTCATTGCATGATACACCCAGAGGCCTTGGTGCCCCCCCCAAAAAAAATCAGTGGAATTAGATGGTGTGCTTTAATGAGACCACTTTAATGAGATAATATTAAAGTGGTCAACTTTATATTGTGCTCTGAACGTCGTTTGTTTTCAAAGCTTTGTAAAGATACAGGGTTCTGAATACAAAAGCTTATTATTACATGTACAGGTAAGGTGGTTATCAAAATTAAAAGATGAAGTTCTCTTTCTAAGAAAACAAAAAATCTGATTCATGAAGAATATTTTAAAATAACAAATTTTAACTACCACAATTCTAACGATATTTACTGAGTACAAAGTGATAAAGCACGAATTATAAACATGCATATCATTCCTTGACTTAGCCATGAGAAAAAGATCAGTTAGAATAAAAGAACTGCATTTATCAGATCAAGCATTTATCCTGCAAAAGCCTTCGAGTAAAATTTCCTGCACAAGAAGCAAAAAGTCACAGGAATGGCCACTTCTATTTCAGGTATCAGGAAGGCGATTTATTATGGGAAACACTTATTTTCCTATTTGTATTATAAACATATCACTTCATAAAAACAATGCAAGTGCCATTTTGTCAAAACACTTAGAATCATCCAGAACGAGTGTTAATCAGAAGCTATGGTTTCTAATTAACATTGATTTGCGACCTGGAAACCAAGAATGTTGAAAAATTTTTTTTTTATAATTTATGACTATGTGAGCAGAGCATATTATATTGCTTACATTTAAAAATACGATAACTAAAAATCACGAAACTACATTTTTTAGTGGAAATTACAAAAAGGTAGCAGTTAAAAAGTTAGCTTTTTGTAGTTAAAGAAAATACTCCCCAATGCTTTAACATGGCATTTGCCAATATTCTGATCTTTTACATAAGATTTGGTTTATTTTTTTAATAAATATTTTTAGTATGTGTAATAATGCATATAGATTTTAATGCAAAAATCCCAAAAGAATGTGATAATTACTTATAGCAATATAATATAATCATTTATTTAAGTATAATTTATTATCATATAATTATTGTAACTAATTATTCAGAAATTACTTTTCCAGTTTACCTTTTTATCAAACATAAGATGCATATAATAATTATGAACTATAATATAATTGTATAATTTTTTTATCATAAATTTATTAGAATCAAATATAAAAATTATTACATTACATCCATTGTAATGATAACAAATTAATGAAATGTGCAATAATAGTTATTTATTACACTTTATCAGAAAATTATATGAACATTAACTTTTGAAAACACTTGAATTTTTACCAATATATAAATGAATAAATAAATGCACAATATTAAAGACAATGTAATCACAAAAATTAATTACAAATGATGATTAGCACATTATCTTGGATTACTTAAAAGTAATTTTTGGCCAAGTCTGCTCTTTGCTGTAAATATAAAGAGAGAAAAAATAAGAATGGAAATAATCACTACTACACGATTTATGCCTATCCACCATATTTCATGAATAAATCAGTTTGAATGACTCATGCGTGCGTGTGCTCATAATTTTCACAGTTATATATACGTATGATTTTTTTCTTTAATGGCAAACTATTTTTTGGAACCCCACTTACTTGACTAAAAAATTTACGAGATATACTTAGATATTATGCAACTCATGAAATATTATGCTCCTCTGGCAATCTGCACTAGAACATTAAATTATGATCAATAGCTATACATGATAATTTTGCATGTATATGTTTAAAAATATCCTTCTGCAGAAAATAAAGATATTTGTATAAGGATATTTGAATATATTTAAATACACACAGATACAAAACTTACCTTGGCAAAATAATGCAGCAATTCATACAACCCCTGCTCAGCTAACAATTTCGCCGCAACTTCTTCATCATAATATGCATTTTCTTTTAGAAATCTCCTACATAAAATAAATGGTTATTCTAAGGACTTCAAATTTTAAAATGTACATAAAATTAAAAATTTTACAAAAAAAAAAAAAAAAAAAAAAAAATATTCATGAAAATGTTTAAAGAAAATTTAGACAACATTTGATTCACTACTTAAGGTCTTAATTTTATACTTCTCCATGCATTCTAAAGAGCTTCTCTAGAATGACTTACTTCCTTTTTCAAAATTACACAAATTGGGTATAACTATTCCAAAGATCACATTTTTTAAAAGGAAAAGGTCATAATGAAAACTCCTTATGATATTCCCTGCATGTTCTCAGGTCAGAATTTGATTTCTTTAGAGGTAGCAGAATAAAAGTAAGATGCCTTTGAGTTCGAAAAATGAAATCAAAGATTTTAAAAGTTTCAACTCATGAAGATAAATTATTGAGTCTGACAGATAATTTCTAAAACAATTATTAACAGAGGATATCACGTAAAATCAGTGACAGGAAACATAACTCAAATCCTGAATATGACATTATTATATCTTATAATGTTGACAACTGATTCACAATGAAAACAGGTATCTTTTCTGTGCTCTTTACTGTGAATAATAGCAAAGAGGCCCATGAAAACAGGTATCTTTTCATGGGGAAAAAAACATATGGTTAAATTAATAAATTAAATAAAAGCATTGACTGGCTTATTAGATTCATGTAAATTACAGAAATCAAAAAATTAAATAAAAGCATTTACTGGCTTATTATATTCATTTAAATTACAGAAATCAACTTACATAAATGTAAAAAATTTACAGGCAAAAAATAATGCTCATTTAGAAATACTTGGTAAATGTAATGTCACACAAACACTTTTTTCCTATAATGAAGTGTCCACAATTCAGTGACTTATGCAACCAATAAACTACGAAAGACATATAAATGAGCATCTGTTTGAAATTTTTGAAAAGCAGATGTTCTTGGCAAGTATGTTACAATTCAGGAGAAAATGGAACCAGACAGAAAGAAAGTGTGTATTTCAGTTTCATCAATGAACATAAAAACAAGAAAAATACAGGATAAAATTATTTGTCTTGTGAATTAAAAACATTTTACATTTGGAAAATGGAAATTTATGCCAGCGTTCAAGCAGAAAGACTTTACAATGTCCACAGTACTTCAAATGAAAATCAAAAGTGACTTAATGATGAAATTGTAGAATTCTGGATGCAATTTTTTGGTGCAAAGCTGGTATGAAAGAAATTTATTCAGCTATTACCCAAGTTATGTGGGAACTGAATAAAAGTTGTACCCTACTAGGAATAGCAAATCTTCTGAAACACTGGATTGCAGATACTGAGAAGAAAAGAGACTACACAGAAGAAAAGCAATGAGAAACAGCCTGAAATTTAAAAAAATTGAGAGGGAAAAAATGCATTATTTAAAAAAATGATTTGGGTATTTGTCTTTTGCACTGTCCTGATGGCCATCCTCTGCTCTAAATATGGCATGCCCACGGTAATAATTTGCAAGAATGAGATACTTTGCCCCCCTTTTTTTATTTATACTTTGAGGATTTGCATGCACCACATAATTCCAAATTGATTAAATTAATACACACAATGTAATTAAAAAATCATTGATTGTTAAATAAACATGCTGTTGCACTGCTTCAGGCAATTATTATCTACCAAAAATGAGCTACTGTCTGTTATAGGCATGTCACATTTAAGGGAGCAAAGGGTTACATGTCGTAGTTAAGGAATCAGAATGGCCATGACTGGTATATGCTACATTTAGAGATGCTACCAAGGAATTTCTGAACAAATTTTTAATGCTAGTGGATGACACAAACTTAAATGCAAAGAAAATATTCAAAATGGATGAAATTTCATTTCATTTCTGGAGACTTTCTGGAGAAGGCATGTGTTTTACACTTCCTTTCTGGAGGCAGCAATGCACCTGAAATTTATAAGTGCAAACCATTAGTTGTTCATGAACCTTGAAAAGCATAAAAATCCTTAGCTATGATTTACAAAAATAATTGACAATCATGGATTACAAAGAAACTCATGACTGCATGGTTTATAAACAATTTCATTAAAAAAGGCTGAAATCACTGTAACAGGGCTGGATTAACCTACAAAATAAGATTCTATTATTACTGGACACCTATATGAGCTAACCATTCCATTAAAAGACCTGAAATCACTGTAACAATGTTGTATTGCCTACAGAGTAAGATATTATTTTTGGACATCTATATGCACCAACCAGATAAAACAGGTTGTCTTCTGGCAATTCAGCCTATGGATCAAGGAACAACATAATTTTAAATGTCACTACAAAGCTTAATTTAAAAAAAAATCTTCATGTTGATCCATACCTTAAACTATACGACTACAAAAAACATTTCATAATTAGAAACTGTACGTATTTGTTTGCTCAATATTACAGTCCTGTGCCAAACCCATGTGTCAATAAATGGGTTGTGTAACTTACGGCCTATTCAGCTTTTTGACAAAACACAGTGTGATAGCAGGAATTTTCTGGATTTAAAATGAATCCTACAAAGGCTAATACTAAAGAATATATTCTTTATGAAAATGAGATGACAAAAAATGAAAAAGTGTTTCAACTGAACAACACTATGAACTGGATGAAAAATTCAGAATAACATGAGTGAATAACATGAATGAGAACGAGATCAACATGAAATGACTAATGATGGAAACACTAGCAGAGTTTTAAATTAAGCAAGAATCTAATCTTGATGAAACTAAGAAATACTGTTCAATGAAGATTTGACCTTAGGAAAATATATGTGGATATTTTTTAAACAAAACACTGCATAACAGAGTGGGGTGGGTTGTAAATTTGGAGGGGGAGAATTTAGGTTGCCTATGTGTGGAAAAGTTTCTTTCATTGAAAATTTTTAACATAGGAAATTTCTCTCAAATCAGATTTGATGTTAGGTTGCTTAAATCTCCCTAAACATTGCGCTATTTCATCAACTGCTTTAAATTTGGCATATTAATACATCTCAGCCACACAAAATATCAATTTTTTCAATTTCAAACAAAGTTTTGTAATTTTATGAAGCTACATGAGGCTAGATAGACAATGAAAGTTTTACTGTGCTTCACTTTGACACATTGGTTTACTTCAATCAAGCAGATCACTAGCAAGTTTGTTCTTATCATATTTCATTTGTTGGTAACATTAAATACTTTAAGAACATTAAATCTGTCAGTTTTAAAAATCGTTTTGTAACAAAATTAAATAGTTTAATTTGTAATCCATGTAACGGCTCCAACATGATCAAATGCTTTATGCCTTGTGTTTGGGGCACCAAAATCATTTAATGAAAATGTGCTAATGATCCTTGAAGAAATGATATAGTGTTGTTTAACTTGGGAAGAACTTAATGAAATCTAAAGAAGATATGCTGTGTGCTCACCATTAAAAAAGTGCCAAACTTTATGGGAAAACAGTTCTATTAATATTCTTTCACATAAAAAATATCACATGCAGTGAGAGAATAATGTAGCGAGTGCTATAATATTAAGAAAATTTTAAAAATGGTGATAGACTGAATACCTCAAAATTTTTTTTAGAGAGTAGGTGCCCAAGGGCAAAAAATTCATAATTTATTATGTTAATCCACTTTTAAACTTATGTTTGTATGACATACGTGCTCAAAAATGAAAGAAACTCTTAAGCAATTAAAGTACATTCAGAAAATTGTAAAACAATCGACTAGCAAAATTTAAAAAAAAAAATTTCTTCAGAAGAGGCTGTAGATTAACTCCAAGAGGGAAGAAAGAATTCAAATGGCTCAGCTGCAAGGAAACAAGACCGGCATGTATGACTTATTTTTTCCTTCTATTTCTGAACAACCATATATCACTCTTCATCCTCAAATACTTTAAACAAAGATGAAGCCACTAAATTTATTCTTGACAGAAAAAAGGAAGGTATTACAAGCCCCATGTGAAAGAATTAAAGTTTCAGATATATCAGTCACAGTTATTGTCAATTCTGCTTTAAAGCACAAGGAGATTTTGATCAAAAAGAATACAGCAAACTTTATAAAACTCTGAACTCGATACACAACCACCTCCTTAGTGTTTTGGGCAATTTTCACTTAAAAAGTAGAAATTAGTTAACAGCTGCATTACATAATAGGTAGTTTACAGTTAGAATTATTAAGATTGTTAGTTTACACAAGTTAAATTTTAAAGGCCCAAATGACAAGCAGTGACAGCACCAGAGATCTGAACTTAGCATAATTATTACCACTGACAAATAGGAACTTTTTAACGTATTGTTTTGGGCAGTTTTTCATTAAAAAGTATAAATTAGTTAACAGCTGCATTACATAATAGGTAAGTTATAGTCAGAATTAATGAAATTAGTAGTTTAAATAAGTAAAAATTTTAAAGGCCCAAGTGGCAACCAATGATGGCACCAGAGATATCTGAAACTTAGCATACTTATTACCAATTTAAAACACACAAGGGAATTTTTTAACTTTTATGATAGACCACTAATCATCTTGACTTGCTTATGCATATACACTCATGTCCATAAATTAAGGATAATGCAAAATCAGGCAATGGAAGAGTTAGAAGCTAAACAAATTTGACTTATTTGTAAAGCTTATTTATTAAACAAAATGTAAAGAGGAAAAAAAGATGCTATATGTTTGATATTATTAAAAAAATTAGTGATTATTTCTCCCTGGAGCAAATTACAAAAAAAAAAACCTATTTACAAAAAACCAATGTTACATGGTTGGTATGATTGTTAATACATTGTATGTCTCCCAGACGATGCAACACAATCTGTACAACGCCTAGGCATGCTGAGTATCAAATTATCGATCTGATCTTGGGGGATATTACACCACTCAAAAGGCAATGCTCTCCGAAGTTCCGGTAGACATGTAGGAGGAGGTTGACGGGCTGCAACTCATCGGCCAAGCATGTCCCACACGTGCTCTACTGGATTCAAGTCCGGTGAGAATGCTGGCCAGTCCATATGGGTGATATCTTCTGATTGAAGGCATTCGCTTACGATGTTTGCACAGTGAGGGCGGGCGTGGTAATCCATAAACACAAATTGTGCACCCATGGCACCCCGAAACAAACGTACATGTTGTTCCAGAATGACGTCCCGATAGATATGGCTCGTCATGGTTCCAATTTGAACATGCAGGTCAGTTCTGGAACCCAGAATAATTCCACCCCAAACGAGCACTCCTGCACCACCATAACGGTGTCGTTCAATGATGTTTTCTTGGTGGTGATGGGTACCTGGAGCTCTCCATATGAAAGTCTGGTGAGAATCAGACTGCAAGCTAAACCTGGACTCGCCAGAAAACATCACACAAGCCCACTGTTGCGGTGTCTACAATGCATGCTCTCGACTCCAGGCTAACCGCAGGCGAGAGTGAGTTGCAGTAAGTGGAACGCATTTGACAGTTCTACGAGCATACAGACCAATCTGCCCTAAGCGTCTGTACACGGTCTGCCTTGAAATTGTCGTACCAGTGGCTGAAGAGAGCTGACGAGACAGGTCTGAGGCTGTGATCCGCCTGTTTATTTTGGCAGTAACTGCCAAATACCAGTCCTCATTCGGCGTTGTAACTCTGGGGCGACCTGTGCTGTAACGTCTACTCAAATTACCATCATCTTGGAATCGTGCCAAAGCCTGGAGATGACACTCTGGGCAATTCCAAGTTCATCTGATACTTCCAGTTGGGAACGCCCACATTCCAGACAGCCGATAATTCTACCATGTAAAAAATCATCCAAATGTGTCCTTTGTGTCATAACTATTCGGTTGTTGTACTGAAATGCTTATAAAGCGGCTGCGAACAATTTTACTTCTTTGCCTGTATTCCTTATATATCACTCTCTTACACTCTCGTCATTGTGACGTACCATCGGTGTCATCTGGTTGCTTCCTGAAATTTGCATGATTCTTGATGCGCGTAGTGATTTTACAGGTGATATATTTATTTTAGAGTTCGATTTCTGCGTGACTCCGAATTATCCTTAATTTATGGACATGAGTGTAAATGTATGACCTGAAACATATGAGCAAAAAGAAGGCAGAATTATTTCATGCTACCTTCTTGCAAAATTGATTAAAAAGAAATAACTGTGCATACTATCTCTTAAACTAAAATGTCCCAGAGTTTTTTAAACAAACTGATTAACAGACTTTTCAGAAAATGTAAAGTGACCAAAAAATTGCTTTTACACACTTTCTCTAATTTATTATTGTTGTTTCGAAATTTAGAGACAGATATTAAAACTTCTATGGAATATACTGAAAAAATAACACAGTAGAAGTCTGCAACACTTAGTACCAGAGGTTCTGCGGATTTCAAGACAGAAAAGATAAATCATAATATTTAGACTAAAAGTGTAAAATAAATAAGACATATTAGATACATTTAATTAAAGAACAAGCAGAGGTGAGGAACTGGTAACATTGCACTTAATGCGATAGACCAATAATCATCTTGACTTGTTTAGGCATCTAAATCTATGACCTGAAATGCAGAAAACTGTAAAATCTCACCCCTGGTTCATAGCTGTGTGGCATTCTAATCTTCAGATATATTATAATTATCCATGACCAACAGAGAAAACATAAATTTATCTAAATTAAGCTCTCAATGTTACTACCAAAATAAAATAATAATAATAATGCAGAAATATTCCATTCCCCAATTGGAAGATTTTAAACATTTTGGTATAGTAGTCTTTATGTATATAATTTATAAAGCACAACTGCATTAACAGAAAAGATATTTTACAGAAATATAATTATATATTATACATACTTAAAAGCTGTACTAATCGCTAGCCTTTCTTGCAATTTATCTTTCACTTGATGAGTGAAACAATGAAGTGCAATATTAGCAAAGTGACATTTATCTGCTGATACAATTTCCACGCCTTTAGTACTGAAAAGTACTTGAATATATGCTATCAATTCAGAAAGAAAACCATAACCCATGAAGTGAGCAACTCTCTTTAACTGTGGACACTAAAATGGATAAAGGTAAAAGAATATATATAAGTAAATAAATTATAAGTAATTAAAAACACACATATAACGATATTATTAAACATTTTTAAAAACATGTCATTTTTAAAGTTAAGAATTTTTACCTTTGATAGTTGATACAGATGAACAGCTTGTGCAAACTGACCTTGAGATAACTGTATATCAGCTGCAGCTTCATACAACTTAGGTAAATCCAATCCCAGCATTACACCCAGTTTCTCAGCGAATGGTAAATCACATGGAAGAGCAGTAAGACTTAGAAATAATTCCTTAGGTGAAATTCTGAAAGTATTTGTAATTTTTTTAAATACATTTGCCACACATTTATCATTTAATTGCATATTCATAATATATTTTTCTACTGTATTTTTGCAACAGCAATAAAAGAAAAATATATTTAAAAAAAATTCCCACTTGGGAAACACAGGAAGAATACTTAAAAACAACAGTTTAATTTTGTATACAAAAAGTTATGTAACATATAATCACATTCAAAAAGCTACATAACCAATATTCAAAGATAATTTAAGTGACAAGAATTTCAGACATGCCAATCAATAATTAAAAAAAGAGAACACTTCAAACATCAAAATATACATTCACAATAAATCCTCAATATCATAAAAGTGGAACATGTTAAAAATTCAGTGAAGTCTCCTCAAATTCTTCTCAGCTTTGTCATCATAATGGTGCCCCTAAGAACAAATGGGTAAAGTATGTTAAAGTGTTCCCCTCTCCCCTTGATCCACAACATTAAAGCCATTTCATTTTCATCAGCCATATACTACAGAGAACAAATCAGACATAAACTGTTATAGGTACCTCACTTAATTAAATTAAAAACTGAGTTCACTCTAAAATTAATAAATGATAATGCAATACTGGAACCTTTCATGGGGACTGGGCTTAGCTTTAATGTCCTCAAAACAAATTTCTTGACTACAAACAAACATCTTTACAATTCTGAGGAAAAAATCACTCCCAAAGGTCACATGATCAAATGTAATATGTATCCAAAGTACTATAATTAAAACTACATTACCCAAAAGCAATAACATAACATAGTCAATTAATAGAGCATAACACATGTCAGCAGATTCAAATATAGAACGCGGACTGGAAAAACAGAAAGCAGGTGAAAGCTAGCACAGGAAGTGTAATGGCATTATCACAAAGAGTTGCATGCCCTGTACAGTGTGCAAATAATAAAGTACAAAAATATAAAGAACTATTAAGAACATCTTATTCAATATTATTACAGATGTGGAATGCCCATATAATGCATACTACAGTAACAATGAAAAGGAAAATAAGAAATAAATAAGGATATTATGAAATCTGAAACATGGCATTAAAAAATACATTTTGATGGATATGTAGTTATAAAAGGAGCAAACAAAAGATACCATTACATTATTTTATTACATGTATTTAAGGCAGAATGCTTTAGACAGAATATGTCATTAGTAAATACATAAAGAAAATCAGATTCATGAACCTGAAATGCTCTCCAGGTAGCATGATGACACTGTAAAAAGGCAACAATGTAGCATGATGTTGCAAAGATGACCAGATGTCTGTGAAATTCCACTCTTTTGCGGCCATCATAAAGACGTTGATTTCTCATCTTTACCTCTTTTTATGCAAAGAAGTTGCTTTTGCACATTTACATACTGCATTTTTATCACACACACACACACACAAAAAAAAAAAAAAAAAAAAAGACTTTAGGCTTAACAACATCCTACTGCAACATTTTAGTGATGCTCTATTGTCTTTGAAATACACTTTTTCTGCGACTAATGTGAAAGCTTCATAATGATGCCTTTTAAAATCATAATTCCAATTTAACAAAAGATGATATTGATTGATTTTTTTTTATTTACAGTTTTCAAATAGTGTTCTTTTTCTTCCTGAAGTTCTTTTTTCCAAGCTTTGTAAAATCTCAGAACTGATCTACTTACTTATTGTTTAGGATATTTCTGTAAAATTGCATACTTTAACAGTTAATTAGACAAATGATAGTTTAATGAAATTAAAGAAAAACCATAATGTGGTACAATCTTATAAGCAACGCGTACAAATTATATAAACATTTATATGCCTGAGTAATTGCTTACTGGTTAATTGAAATTAGTTTTAATGAAGTGAGCTTAGAAAGAAGATCTATTAAAAGATGTTACCTTTTTTGAACAATTTACCAAAATAAAAAATTAAGGAAATATTTTTATAAATTAGTGCATATGTTAAATGAGATGTTTTTCCTGTATATATATATATATATATATAAACATACTAAGCAATTAAGACATCATATAACAAAGTACTTTATTTATTTTTGTTCGACATATATTCATTTAATACCGATACAGATGAGGTTTAAATTTTCCCTAGTATCGAACTCTATATATTTAATTAAACATTATTCAACATCTCTATTCTTTTCTCAAACATTTCCACACAATTTGAATTATGTGTCATTTTATAAGCATATGAATAGCATGTTACCTCAGCAATTTTCTATAAATTGTCAATTGTTATACCCGCTGAGATTTAGAATTCCATTTATTAATGGCAGATGTTTGCATTGTAAGTAAGTTTTTTGATTCTGGAAATGGAAATAAGAGAAAAATATATTTTCTATTGAGAAAAATGGCCTTAATAGTAATCTGAAACTTCAGAATAATAAAAATTTTTCCGTCTCTTCCTGTAATGCCTCAGCACAAAATATAAATTTTTAAATAAAATATCTGCACTCAGTTTCCATAAACTGATAATAACATTTGCTCAAGCTATAATACTGCTCTTATCAGCTAAGCATGCAAAATAAAATTGGAACTATATAATTCAATAGCATTATTAAGCATTTACTGTTATGTCTACTACTTAAGAACTGATTTATGGAATTTTAAGCATCATGTTTGAACATTCTTTAGATGAAACTTGTTAGGTTTCATTTAGAATTTAGTATAATCAAGAAAACTAGATCTAATATTTAACCCTTTGCACTTGAAAGGTGACTCTTGCTCACCACTTGGTTTGATGCAGAAACTCGATGCATGGCAATAACTGTTTGGATTTAGTTTCTTCGAAGTGGGTTCCTACGCTCTTTCTGTATATTGGAAATCTTATCTTTTCTTGTCTATCACTGTCACTAAGTCTGTTCTCAGAGAAATGAACACGGAAAAAGGCATCAAACAACATATTGTAATACTTGCTCTGACAAACTACGCATGCATCTTGGGAATAGTTACATGAAAAATCATACACAGAAAAATTACAGAGACTAATATTTCAGAAATTATGCTTATAAAGGTGCAAAGATATATAAAATGTTAAAATATAAAAATTTTATACATTAATTTGTGTGTGTGTAATGATTTTAAGTTACTAGTAAGAAATGCATCAAAAAGGCTACGGAATGTCTCGAATTGCTGGTGCTCCGCAAAAAAGCCCCGAGTGCAAAGGGTTAATCTACATTTCCAATAAAAAGAAAAAAATCTATTATTTTTGCAATAAATCCAATTTTAAAATAATCACTACAACAAATTATTACTCCGAATTTAATTATGATAACACACCCCACGTTCCCAGAACATTTTACATTAAAAGCTATCATTTATCAGTTTGATAAAATAAGGAATGTTATAGATTAAGTAGTAGTTTTTGCTGATTAGATAGCATCAGGGAATTTCATTCCTCTTTTTGAAAATTTCTAACTTAAATCCAAAAAATTATTCTTTTCATATTAAAACAAATTATTCAAATAGACGATGAAGACAAGCATGGTCACTCCTTACATACTGTGGATCTTATGGAACAACACTTATTCCCCTTGAAATGTCAGCCTCCTTCCAGGAGATCAAAAATAATTAAATTTCTTTTTATATGTATGAATCCGTTTTTTAGGATTTTTAAATGAATTCCATTACAATTTAAAACTTCTACTAAGTATTTTTCACACAGCTTTATCTCAATATTTGAATGTATTAACTTTGAATAAGTTTCATTTTATAATATATTTTTCTCTTCATTTCCTAGGGGATAATTATCAATTAAAATTAATAATTAATTTAAATATATAGTCTTATCAGTATTTGTGCTAGATTTTACCTTTAAAGTAAATTGATATTTTTCTCTTCTTTATATATATATATAATGTTGTAGTTTTGGTGGAAGATAAGACCAATTCAATATAACTTTGCAGGTGATAGCTGTAATGGGATGGAAATAGTTTATTGCATAGGTAGAATGCAAGTCCTTGCAGACAAACATGGCCAAATTCAACGTAATTTTAATATTGGATAAAGTCATTCTGGAGACATAATATTTGCTTCATATGAAATGGAATGAATTCATATGAATGGCCCCCAGCTTAAATTTAATATAGTAGAAAAAGCTTAATGAAAAGATGTTAATTTCCTCAGCATAAGCAAGGCGCAAAGACTGAATGCACACAAAGCAGCCGAAATATTTACAAGCTAGGAAATCCTTTGTTTGAGTTCTGAGCTGAAGAAGAGTTTTCACAATGCAGAATACTGTCAACTACAATGCAGATGCTTTGTTTAATTAGGAATTTAGTCATATGTTGCAATTATTATTATATTTTATACATGCCCCCTTTCAAAGAGAAAAAGGCTTGGAGACAGAAAAGCCTTTTCAGGAAAAAGCATTAGAGCGTTAGCAACGGAAGAAATATCTTGTACAATGTGGAAATTATTTTGATTAATTGATAGATGGCGCTAGCATTGCATGTTAACGCGACGCGACGTGCCTTCTGAATTTCCATAGACTCTCCACCGGCAGCTCGATATGTGGATGTCTGATGGTTCGCACACTATTTGATTAGGAACACTTCGGTACCTATTTGATTTCGATTTTCGATTATGAAAGCATATAGATTTGTCAACTGAACCACCATGTTTGATCTATGATCTGTAAATATTGTACACATTAAAAGTTACATTTTAAAAGTGACTGATGTCAATTTATAGATCTTAGAATATTTTGAAACATACAATATTTACAGTTTGCATGAGAAAGTGTAAATAAATGATTTCAGAATGCAATTTAGAAATACTAGACCAAAATATGATTCTGTAAATTAAATTCAGAGTCCAGATTAAAAGTTTGTAAAACATAAGTTTTGTAAAGTTCATGATGTATGGCTTGAAAATCACATAATAAATTTAACAGCTGAAAGTCTCTTGTAAGACCTAAACATTGTACTCAAGATAAAAATATTTATATTATGAATCCATGAAATTCTATTAAAATTAATG